AAACCATTTTCCCATTCGTTGTAACTTCGTTATTCACCAATGCACTCCAGAAAGAAAACTATCTGATATATATTCGATTGTATTGATGCACATAGTTTAGGCCCTAGATTGGTAACAGCCTACCTCAAAGAAATCTTATTGAGGTGCATATTGAATGGTCAGTTCACTTTCAATAAATAGATTTTTAAACAGATAGATGGCATTGAGAGGAGATAACCATTGTTTCCAATGCTGGCTGACTGTTTTGATGCGAGGCTAGGAAACTCTCAAATTAGTCAAACCATCAGTTAATTAGATATTTATAGAAGATACCAATAGGACACTCTGGTCATCTGCGATAAGGACGTAATTTTTGATGATAGCTTGCTTGCATTCAACAACTACTATCCTTCCTTGCAATTCACCATAGAAATGGGATCTGATGTGTGCCTCAATAGATGTAATGACAGATCCGTCTAAAGAACCATCCACCAGAAACGTATATGAGGCGGACAACTAACTGATTTATATAGTTGAGTGCCAATCTCTAGGAAAGTTAACTTGATTCATTAGCTTTGCTTTTGGACAATAAACACTTGAAGTTCTGACGGATCCCATCTCCAACTTTTCTTTTCATTCAGACTTATTTCAAGCTGGTAAACTAAATGAGGTTTCAGAGTTCGTTTTTACCTCAGAATTGAATTTTAGACCACATGCCTGGTAGATTAGAATTTTACTGTTGAATCGTGTACACTGATGATTTACTCCAAAAGTCATTTTGACTGCAGTAAACGTTCTGTCAAATAGTGAAATTCTAGGAGCAATAAAACAACGGAGTAATTTTCTTATCTTTTTAATGACATAATATATCATAACAGATGGTAGAACGAGTCATGAGGAAAATATGTAAACAGAGAGGAAAATTTTCTTCTCGACGAATCAGATGTCAGTCAGATGTGCGTCGGTGGCATAGCGGTTAGGACGCTCGCCGATCATGTACATGGTCCGGAGTTCGATCCCCAGCCAACGCACTCCTTAATCTCGCTAAGCCAGAAATAATGCTGGTGAAGAAGAGAGGTTGGGCATGAGGCTAGCAACCTCATCCTGTAAAATAAACACTGCTACAGAAACTTCAAGCCACTAGCTTGAAGCCCTATATTCCACTGGGGAACTTGAAGGAAAAAAAGATGTCACTAGATTTGTTCTAGAAAAAGGATGACATATTGCGAGGTGTAACCTAAGGAGGGGGGCAGGGAATAACTAATTCGAGGTTAGCAAAAGAGGGCAGAAGTTGATATGACGCGATAAGTGTGAGTGACTCATCAACTTAATTTTGTAAAGTAGACAAAAACTAGTGGAAAGAGGATAAAGTACTTTTATGAAATCGGTATGAAAGTGTGATGTTATTAATAAATAATAATATAGTGATTATGGAATAATAATAATAATAGTAAAAGTTATTTTGGTAAAATTACATATTAACATGAACCAAAACTTGTGGTAAGAACGTTACCCTGGTTAAGGTACGGTGAGGGATGTATGTAGTGCTCTGCAGGAACAAGTAAACTGATAAATACACACTGAAGTGACTAAAAGCGGTTTTTTTATTTTGATTGCATGGAGGATTTCATCATGAGCTGACATCATTTAGACAACCACTGGGAAACCTGAGAGTACTGGACAGCTATTTCGTCCTAGTTTGGGACTCTTCAGCAATACGCACCCACCGGGGTTCGAACCCAGGACCTTCTGGTTACAAGGCAACGTCGTAGACCATTGAGCCACTGGGACATTATCCAATGGCCAGCCAATGAATTCTAACTTCTACCAATTCACGACATAGCACGACCATTTCGCAATGTCTTCTTCGATGAGTTACTGCCTCATCTTCAACCTGCTGTACCCTACTGGTCATGGCTTCCCACTAGAACCCCAGGTTATTTTAACTCATGACTGGATTAACTATCTGCTGGAGAGTGTGTTACGTAAGATAGCTACTGGAAACGTCTTCTTCAGATATTTGGAAATGCGTTTTTAAAGAATGTCTGCTTCAGCCTCACCACTCAATTTCAGGTTAATGAGGAGAGTTTTCTTAGGAAAAACTGCAAATTTCAGTAACTGAGGTATTTCTTTCTACCCATACACTCACCATTACCTAGATTATATAGTAAGACTTGAATGAATTTATTTTTGTTATTATTGTTATTAGGATCACCTCGATTGTTTTTTATCGATTCAAATCCCTGAACTTTGATCCCATGTTTTAATTAACCATATTAATTCAAATGCTTATGACTAGTACTTCATTTTTTAAATGTAAAGCCTGACAAGAATTCATTGAAAATACGTATTTGCTTACTTCAGTAGTGTTATATAATTATCATTATGGGAATATATATATATATATTATTTTATGTTTATGTCAATAAATCTGTGTGGATATCTGTTCCCCCAAGGTAGGGTGTCAAATTATTATTATTCCCTTGCATTCAACAACAGATCTGCACTTTGTTCTGTTTTCTGCCGGCCTCTTCATATGGGTCCACGATTGACCAAACTCTCTCATCCTTTCCTCAAACGATCTCCTCCACGCCACCCTAGCACTGACGACACCCTCGTCGCTTCCCGTTTTGATTCTACTAGAGGGCCTGGCGTGAGATGTCATTCGGTGGCCTCCTCAATGTTTGCCTGATCCATCTTCACTTCCTCCTGCAAATTTGTTGAGCAATCGACTCTTGGTTGGTTTGTACCCATAGTTTCTTCTTGCTTACTCTTTCTGGTCAGCCATTTGAACTTCAGTATGGAGCCAGCGAAGCGGGCAGCTGTTGATGAAAGTCTTTTGGAAATCCTTTTCGTGACACACTGGCAAGGTTTTCTAGCCCGTATGGAAGAATCAAATTGACATTAGTGTTGAAAATGAGAATCTTATTCCTTATACTGAGTGCAGAAGATTTCCAAACTGGTTTCAGGTTGATGAAGGTGTATCTTGCCTTTTGCGATTCTGACCTTGACATCTTCGTTCGTTCCGACTGTCTGTAATTGAAACGATGCTTCCCAGATAAGTGAATGATGCAACATCTGTGTCATATAGTGGTTTTCAATTCAGTCTATATCTTATCTTCCAAACAGATTTTGCGAAACTCTTAGCATAAGGTGAATATTAAGTTTTGCTTTATGATCAGTGACACGAAGTTCTGGAAGTTAATAAACCATCCAGTTCATGTTGGTGTGTGATATATTGATCCTTGGATCGGGTGATCTTGTCCTCTAGTAGGTATTATATCCAGGAATGCAAGGATTGTTTCATGAAGAGGAATAGTTGATTCATTCTGGCATTAGCGCGGCCTGCTTAAATCACTGAGCTACCAAAATTTAGAAAGCAGAAGGATTGGGCGAAGAAATATTTACCATTCAATTACATCCTCATCTCTGGCTCTACTCTTATATCAATATATAGCATTTTTATTACAATACACCACAATTTACCAGTCAAATGACGATATGTTTATTAACAATTATTAGTCAGTATCATTATGTCAAACAGTGGGGTGATAATTAACGAAGAAAATTAATAAACACAATTAAAAGGTAGAAATGGTTACAATACGTGGATTGCATAATGCATAATTTTGGAAAAAATGAAGAGTAAATAAGGAAAAACCGTGTGCACACGTGATTACGTAACAGATTGGTAAAGAAAATAAAACGATTTGGTTAATTATAACTTGTAACTGAGGATGAAGTGGTCAGAAAAAATAATAAAATGACAATGATAATTTTTTAAAGGTTTAGGGGGAGGGGGACAAAGTAGTCTGGTTTATACATTCCTTTAGCGATGGCCAAGGTAAGGAAATTGGCTGTACAAATGTCTTCTGAACACACAGGTTTGGCTTCTTCAGTTGGATTACTATTGCTTCACCTGTGTATAGAAGATGAACTAATGAAACAAAATTAAGATTAGTAGGAATGTGACAAATAAATTTGAATGCTCTATTAACGTCAACCTTATGCTCACTATCTACAAGTTGTGCTACAATAGAGCTATGGATAGATCTTGTTTGTCCCTTGCTTAACCATGCTGGATGATGTTCGGAATTACGACGATAAACCTGCCTAATTGTACGCCCGATATAGCTGGCTCCACAAACTGCAGTCAAACTGGTAGATATACATAGAGGAGGCAAATTCAGGTAGCTGATCCTTATTTCTCGAACGTAGAATAGGAGCGGTATAAAAGAGACAACGTATCTCTGCTGCATAATAAGCTCTTTCAACTGCATTCTTCGGGTGCTGTGTTATTATTTCGGTAATGTTGTCACCGAGGAACTGCAGTTTTATGAACAGTGGTTTTTTTCAAAACTGTTGCCATACTGACTCTCCTAGGTGCTGAATTCAAATTTTTTTAATGAACTAATCTATGTAACCATTTTTTCCAAGTAATTCGCTAATAATCTTATGCTTCTCATTGAGGCAGTTGTCTGAACAGATTAACCTAACTCTATGAACCAGATACTTAACCAGTTGACGTTTATATTTCAGAGGTACAAAACTTAAAAAATGAGTGTACTGATCTGTTGTTGTAGGTTTCCTGAACACATTCCTGATTAGTGCGCCATCTTCTTTCCTCGTCATGACGACGTCTAGGAATGAGATCCTGTCATTACTTTCTTCCTCTATTGTGAAGTTAATTCCTGAAAGGACATCATTAAACTTGTCAAGGATGTCCAGTGCATCATTTTTCTGATTTTCTATCAATGAAAATGCGTCGTGTTCCACACTGTATCCACATATCCACATATTTTTCCGAGTAGCACAAACTTAACAAGTCTCACATGGTTCTGCCTCGTTTTTCTTCAGAAGGAACCAAAGATACCTATTTTTCTCCTTTTACAATCAAGACGATAACCATCGTTCCTTTTTATCTTCAGATATTTTACACTAAGTATATTTTCTTATCTCTATTTTTACTTGTGTTCTGTATTGGCTTAATAAAACTATTGACGGTTTTGCTTCTTTTACAGAAATGTCTGCAAGCTTCCAAAGCATTATAAAGTAAGTTTACTTAAAAACTGAAAAAAATTTGAGATACCTTTTGACATTTTATCTCTTAGAATGACTTCTATAATTGTCATTTTCAAACATTTTGTTTCTTTCGTAATACTGGTGTAATTTTTGACAGAAGGGAGGAAGTAATGTTGGGCATTATCAGATTTCTTAACTTGTTAAACATGTGGTTTCTATGTTCTATAAAAATATAAATGTAGGCAACAAAATTATGATAAACCAAACTGTAAATAATAGGACAAACTGCAATAAAAAATTAAAAGGTATCACACTGATCAAAGTGAATTGAATTGCTTCAATTTGGCCCACTGACTGATATCAGTTGGAGAGTCAGCTTTTTTGTTTCAGTGCTGTGAACACATCGGCTTTGTGCATCCAGTGGAGTTATTGTAATTCGCAGAATTTGAAAAACGTTTTTACTCTGTGATAGAAAATGCATTTAGAACTCACTTACACAAGACATTCATTTGAACGGAATATGTGGAAATTTGACTGTATTATTTCTCGGGTTTCGAATGGAACAAAGGCCTTCAACAACATATCCCCACTATGCTCTACGTTTTGCTAACCTCTTCGTTTGGTTGCACGATTGCCAATAGTCTCTCATCTCCTCCTCCACACACGATCTCCTTCTTCCCTGCCACCCTTGCACCGACGACTCACTCATCGCTTACCATTGGGATGACATTTCGAACATACTTTATGGTTAAATGCGTCGGTGGCACAGCGGTTAGGAGGCTCGCCGACCATGCACATGGTTCGGGGTTTGATCCCCGGCCGACGCACTACTTTACCTAGATAAGCCAGTAATAAAAAAAGCTGGTAAAGAGGAAAGTTTGGGCATGAGGCTAGCAACCCCATCCTGTAAAAATAAACACAGCTACAGAAACTTCAAGCCTCCAGCTTGAAGCCCTATGTTCCACTGGGAACTTGAAGGAATAAAAAAAAATTATGCTTAAGTGCGATACATTCGAAGTCTTATTTGATAAAATGCCATTCAGAGCTGATATTAAGTTGATGTTTAAGTGTAAAACATCACTTAGATGCAAATGTTTTGGATAATAGATAGATAGACTTAAAGTAGGCTAGGGAATATTACTCAACGACAAAGCTAAAGCACAAATATCTAACAGGTTGGCTGGGATTAATTAGAATAGCCCTATTCCCCAGGTTGTCTAAATGCTAATTGATAACACAGGACTCAGCGAATAGGCTGTTTTCAACGAATTTATTATCAAGCTGTACAATGATATATATATGGTTTTTAAGTAATTATATCTCATTAGGAAATTGAAACAAATGTGTGAATAAATAAAATATTAGTAACAATAATTGTGTGGAATGCAATTGAAATTTTCGTGATTATAATCATAGTTAAATATCAATTGTAAAGTGGCAAGACATGGAAGTGGGTGTAAAATTATGCAGTTAGTAGATGAACAAAAATGTCACACAACATGATGTGAAATTTGATAAGATAGAATTAAACATTGAAACATATTTTAAACTTTAAAATGACGCGTGGGATAATTGAGATAATAGCGGAAATAGTTTGAAGTGATAATAATACTAATAATAATGATAATGATAATAATAGGAACAACCAACATAATAATAAGGGAACGACATAGAGATTGAATAAACAAAACGCAAAGTAAGCAGGGTAAAAGTACGAATGAGGGTTCTCATACTTTAGCTTACACATATTACGATTATGATAGTAGGAGGGTTTGCAGAAACGCTATCTGTATACACAGATATCTGACTTTTCCACATCGATAGGTAAGACCTCAACTATGCAGATGAGTCGGAGACGTATTCATTTTGGTAAGTTATTTCTCACTTTGTCAAAGACTTTAAAGAAAGAGGCTATAGAGATAAGTTATGACCAGTATCAACCATATGTTCAGTGACTGAGCTTCTTAAAGTCCCACCTTCACCTATTCGTAGCCACACAGGATAGTCTTCCTGCACCATCTAGAACAAAACCTGAGTCGAACGACTGAAATGCCTAGCCCGAGGTGAGAAGGTGAATTGATAAACGCACATAGAGTTGGTCAACTGAGGCATGTTTTCCCTCAGGTTATTGAACGGTAAAAGTTAACTAGAAAACGCTATTCTCAACGATGTTGCAGTGAATGTCCCTTTCAGAGACTGTGAAGTCCTTCTTTTAAATATTTTGGCAGCCAAGTTCATGAACAGTATTTTTTTGGTTACGGATGATAAGTTACATTTAATAGTTTCTTGTCTATACAACTTGAGAGAAATCCATTTTCAACCAATAAGTAATCGGCTGCAGAAAGTTCTACAGCTTGATAATAAATTCATTGAAAAGAGTCTTTCTGCTGAATCACTTATTTTGATTTTCTGTATATCCACGAATTAAAAATGTTAAATGTATTATTTGACAAAGATGAGTAGTAATTTGGAAAAACCGCAACTCTTGGTATCCATGGGTAACACATTATGCAGTAGATGAAACTGACCCCAGAATCTATTCTTATTAAATTAGCACTGCACAATATCCGACTCACATTAAGCTATGCTGATGCTGAGGACAGGAGAAGTAATACGATCACCAAAATAAATAAATATCAAATCAACAGATCAACAGTAGAAATAGGTCAATGGCATAAAAATGACAACAAAAAAGTACTTTAGCACGCCTATAAGTAGTAAATTTTGATTTAAACGTCATTAGCAAGTAAGATTATATGCCCGCGTAGTTTTTGATTATTAACATTATGGAATAGGTGTCCTTATTAGAGCAATCAGAAACCAAGCAACAAATACTGTCACACTATTCTTCGTGATGCGGTGGGTTGGGAAAGGGAGGGGGTTAGGAGGGATTTGACCTTAACAAGAAACCACTTTCATGTCAGTAGAACAGATGAACTATATATATATATATCAGAAATGTAGCAGTGAGGCATTTTATTAATGCTAATTTCGTCTTTATGACAAAAAAATAAAATAAAAATAAACTATGAATCTACTATACTCGGTAAAATTTATATGTATGGAGTATCATGCATGAATGTAATATTTTTGTTTTAATGTCACTAGAAATTTTATAACGTCAAGTATGTCTCTTCGATTATGCAAATGAGTAGTTAATTTATAGATGCTCTTATTGCTATTGCTTTTATTCTATGACAGTTGTTATTAGCATAGATTGTAAATATATAAGTAGTAAGTACATATAAAATGAAAACTCTCCTCAGTATACTGTGAAATTTTGTTTCATGGACTTTATCAACTTATTGACTGAGAAAATGGGCGGTTTCATAGTAAGATATTTACTCCTTGTTCAGAGACTTCAAATAATATAGTAAGCGATGATATATTGCACGAATAAATATCGTTCCACCCAAAGCTTTCTCCAGTACTCTTCCACAGTGTTCTTCCTCTATTTCCTTTAAAACATTCCTAGTGATAGGTAGAAACATATTTCAAATTGTGCGCCAGTAAAGATTGTGTCTCATTGTTGTAATTAGAGCATTAAAACAACACGAAACGGAGTAGACAATTTGGACTTTGATGAATAGAAAATGTAGGTAGTCCAGTGACTTAAGCAGGCCACCACATGAAAAAAAATTTATGATCTAAGGAATAATCTTATGCACAGTAATTCACTTCACTTCTACTGAATTATTTGGACGGTAAGAGAAGAGAAACGCGAATAGGAGTGGCTATTATTTGACATTAGCTCAGTCTGCATAAGACACTGGGCTACCTTAGTTTTTTATCCATCAGGATGCTTCAAAGTTGCTCCCTCTTCGCATTGTTTTAATTATCTAACTATCACAATGAGTTGTAAATCATACTTGTGCATATACTTCGGGTGGAACGATATCGTTTCAAACGATTCATTATGAGTTATATTATTTGAAAATTCTGACGAAAGGAGTAAATGACTTCCAATAGAATTTATTGAATGTTCTGTATTGTGTTTAGACGCATTTTTCAGAATGAAGTCTTTATTATTATTACTGTTATTAACTACTTTAGAATAAGATCCAAAATGACAAAAATAATTGGAAAGTAAAGGGATTGAGCAAAGAAATATTTACTTTTCAATTAGATCCTCATTGCTGGCTCTACTCTGATATACATATATAGCATTTTTACTACAATATAAAACAATTTACCAATCAAGTGGTACTGATAGGTTTGTTAACAGTACTAGATGGTTGGAGGCAATCGGCCACAGGAAGCCTTGGACGTAGCTTTCGTGCAAGCTGGCGCTCACCGGTCAGCAAGGTGTATCTGCAACCTTGAAGGAACTCATGTCCCTTATGAGATTCAAACCGGCGTCACCCAGTGCAGTGCTGCAGTCAGAGACGGTACCACTGAGCTATTCGGACTCGCGCAACACTAGTTACTAGTGTCCAATCAAACTATCCACTACAGTCCTACAGTAGGTCAATCACGAGATCGAATAGCTCAGTGGTAGCGTCTCTGAACGCAGCACTGGGTGACATGGGTTAGAATCTCAGAAGGGACACGAATTCCTTCAAGGCTACAGATACGTCTTGTTGACGAGTGCCAACTCGCACGAAACCTCCAACCATCTAATATCATCAAATCAATGTGCACCGTGATGTTGAGCTACCTAGAATGTTGGCCACATTGCAAACCTGACTGATAGAATCCAGTCTGCACCAAAGAAATGACTGGACGCATAACACTAGTTACTACTGTCCAATCAAACTATTGTTAACCATTATTGGTCAGTATCAACATGCCAATAGGGTGGTAGTTAACAAATAAAATTAATGGGGATTTTTTCTATATTGAAAAGATAATTGCTTGATTGAGCCTTGAAGACTTGGTGAGCAGAATACTATTGGTTTCACTAACGTTAATAATGTTAATTTAGACCCTCATTTAAGCACTCAGTACTCACTTGAAACAGACTTCATTTTAATTGAGTTATGAGCAGAAGATGAAAAATTTGAAATTCCATCTATCTGAAATATTTAGTT